TCCGCTATTAAATGGTTCTTGTCGTTTAAAGAGGAGCGGCTATTGTAGAAATTATATGGTCAAAGGGATACAAATATCAAATCTATCGTTTTTGCGTTTCGTATTAGGGAAGTAAATATTACTGAGCATTATCAGTTCAGCTGTCCAAAACAGTAACACACAAATAAGACAGGCCTCGTATTATAACCGGTATATTGTCCTAAATCTGCACACCAGCTCGTATGGTAAAAAAAAATAGACTTTGAATCAGCTTTATACGTTACCTATAGACTAATGTACATTAATAAAATTTCATTCGTAATTTTCACTCTTTCAAGCCACGCCACTGACGGAGTATGAGTTTTGCCGGATAAAAGTAAATGAGCTACACCCGTATATGGCTTATATTGGCTGAACATTTTTGTTAATCCAAGATGCGAATTACATTAGCGAAGTAATCATAAGACTTAGCATGCTCACTTCACCTATATACTTCATCTCATATTGAGATACCTACAGTGTCACAGGTTAGAGGGCCATTTAAGAATGTATAGACTGTACGCATCTATTTAAGGGCCAGCATGTCCTACATCTAGGTAGATTTGAAGCCTATCTAGGAGTTTATGCATATTTGTTCTAACCGTTGGTAGCTGATTTCATCTGTTCCTGAACAAGCCTCGCGCACTGAACCTTAAAAACTCGCGCCGTCAGAAATATTTCACTGTCGTTGTGATCCGATTTTTTTTTGGGAATTGCCTAAAAAACACAATTCGCCATTCTACCGTTCATATGCAGTATTTTTTTTATGTACAAGTGTAAACAGGCACACGACTATCATACACTGAACAGAAGAAGACAAAAAAGCGGAAGAGACAGCACACAGAAACAGCAAGTAAAGTAAACTGTAAAATTAAGTGCCGAAAATAGGTAATGATACCATAGTTTAATGCGCTCACAAGCTGTTACTGGATAGCCTAAAAAGATTCACACCAGATCGATATGTATGTATGTATGTGTCGGAAAAGTTACATGCATACACGCAGATGCACGGTTTCCCTTGAGTTAGGTCTTTTCTCAAATTTGCCTACAGCACAATCAGGCACTAGTGGCCTAAAACAGCGTACATTTCCGCTCTTTACTTCAAGACGGAGAAATCGAAACTAGTTTTCCGACAGCTGGATATGCAAAGACAAAAACCGTTACGGCAGCAGAATGTGGCTCTGCAATACTAAGACGTCCATTCGAATGGTCAAACAAACAGCTGTGGCCAAAGTGGTTGACAGCTTATTTTTAATAAGAAATTTAAGATTTCGCTGTTTATCTAATGAACAATGCCTGTAGATAGGCTTGTTCAGTACGGTAAGCCTAATTAACAGAAAGAAAAATATAGGTCATATCCTTTGGTTAGTTTGTTAGTTGAATAGTCCCAATTAAAACTCTTCCGCCTCGATTTTGAAACTGCCTTTCAAAGAACAGACGGAAGTTTGGCCTTTCGGCGCTAATAAGCTCTAGCTGAAATATGCTTTTGGTCGCAATCTAGTTAATACAGTATGCTAACAGTGACCGATGTTCGCTGCTAGTTGGATTTTGCGTAAAAAGTTAAAAGCCTTAAATCCGCGATAGAGCCTTTGTGGCGTCATCCCGCCGAGGGCGTAATTCGATTTTCGAACCTAGGATGCAATTAAGGAAGCTAGGTTAAGTTAAACGCTATAGATATATCCAATTAGAATGAGTAAGCATTCTCCTACGAGGTCGACGACAGCCTAAAAACCCGATGAACAATTTAGGATGGACTTAATCTGGGCTAGTGAAGGACGTTAAGCAGCAAGCATGTACCGATTTGAATAAAAATGTCTGGTCATTTAGTTAGGTGTGATAGACCCCATTATATGAGGCTATGGCAATTGCTGTTGAATACGGCACAACGATTGTACAGGATGCAGCTGTAATGATGTCGAGTACAGTGGCAAAAAAGGATGAAATCCTGCATCTAGCGGTACTAGGGCTAATGGACCCCCGGGGATATGGCTTGGATTTACCCGCTGATTTCATATACCACACGTATGCGTAGAAAATGCTCTGGTCTATTTGTTTTGTCGGCTCCATTTGTTAGAGTTTCGAACCGCGTTTTTACTTCGCATAGACGCATCTGGCTTGCAAATAGAAAAGGGAGTACATAGTAAAAAGGGCTTCTTAGAGGTAGTCGCCCGATCTTTCACTCAAAAAAAATGGTGTTTCATACATGACAACCATTCGTCTTGTACGATTTCAAAATATCTTCTTTTATTAACTAGTTCCCAGCTTAAAATGCCCCACAATTTTCGACCCTACTGGTTATTTGGGCTTAACTCATACGGAAATCGTACTATTGCGCGCTAGCACTGGTAGCCATGTAATTTTCGTATGTGCCGAAGTGCGGCTTTGTGCACTTCAAACTATGTGATCGAAGCTACGCAGCCTCAAATATGAATTATCCAAATAAGTACTTACCCTCATATATTAAAAAGATATCATTTTCAACCATTCAAAACAAAACACAATAAGCTAACACTAATAATATTTTATATGTTGCAAACTATTACATGAATCTTTGTTGATTACAAATTTTGTATGCTCAACGTTTTACCTAAAATCACAGTGGGCTCAGTTGGCTGTTTTCATATCAGCTCTTCGTTTCACCCGGGTTTTCGGCCACTTTTTCGCTCACATCTGACTCGATAAATTAAATAGAGAGCAGGGATTTTTTTCCTTCAAGGTTGCCCACAGTTCATAAACCATACAATAAAACGGAACCGTCACATAATCTGGAAGTCGTTCGACGTTACCCCTCCTGAAGATCAGCCGCTCATCGAAATTGCGATTACGTTGTTAATTACATGGACGGATGAAGATCACATATTTTTTAAACGTTTTTCGGCCATTTAGGGTGGAAGAAGGCCTAAGATCATCTGCTGCTGGCCAATAGAGTGTACAGTTTAATCGAGAAGAAGGGCTAACGATGTCTCCAGCCCTCATGCCGCAATATACAGCGGTTTTCTTAAGCGCAAGCCCCTTTCGGAAATAGTTCGACGACTCTCGGTACTTCGAAGACGGCAATTTTCTGTGTTTACGCACCGCTCTTAATGTAAAAGTATGCCAAACAAATTTAACGAACGTATAGACACCGTCACGACCCAGATAGGACCAGTCGTATGCTGGACAAAGCGAACAAATGCCATGAAAAGCCAACAGAGCTCACCAATTGATCTTATATTTGAGTACAATTTTCAGTGCATTAAGTTGGTAATAGAAGAAAACCTGTGTAAATACACTGAGGTGTTTTCTTTGAAGTGTTGTCGACAAGATGGCCGCTCGTGAGAACTTGACGTAATAGTTGGAATGTGCTTTCTTTACATGCATAAAATGACTGTTAGATTGTGGTGACGGTGATGATATGCGCATAGAGGAAAGAAAAAATGGGACAAGACTGACCAATAACAATTATATTAACAAAATTGTACGCTCACATATTATTTATGTTTACGAATCTAAGGATCGGAGTAAAAAAAGCACGGCGGTTCCTGCTTTTAAATGATCAACATAAGGATCGCCAGGCATAACGTAATATATAGCTGCTAAGTGAAACAAAAAAAAAACAGTGGCATCTGTCAATAGAAAGCAAGGGCTTTCTACTGAGAATAGACAAATTGTTTAGAGATTTTAGGTGATGCTGAATACGTACAGTGATGACAAAGACATCTGTACGCATCGTCTGCTAGTTAGAAGGTACTTTTTCATTGTTATTAACATATTTGGATAGTAATAAACACACAATCGTAAAAAACAGATCGCACAGAAATTGTTAATTTTTAGTTATCTCACCATAGAGCTGCTTAACTTACTAAAGACAAACACGAAAAATCGATCACACTTACTGTAACAATTGTTTTTCTTCAAATTCTACTATTAATAAATATGGCTGTACTTAGGACATTGGGACTGTGCGAACTGTGAAAGGTAAATAGATCAAAAAGAGATATTGTGTAGATTTTGCAAAACACACGAGCATTTTCTAGCAGTTTACAATCCAAATAAATATGTCTGCATTGAAATATGAAGGTTTTAATAGGCAAGGTATATAAAGATAGCTTCTTCTACATATTGCCAGCGGTTTAGAGAGTAATTTCTAAACTTCCAAAGAAAACTAATCACCGCAAAGGAACCTAATAAGCTGAACATGGAATTCTTGACAATATAACAGCATTATAAAAGGACAAAAAGTATGGTTTACCTGGCGAATGGCCAAAGGGAATACTAGAATTAGCTATGGCCTTCAGTTGACTGTCCGCGTGCACTAAGTTTATAATGTACGGATTAGGCCATAATTAGAGGCACGGTCGTTTAAAAAGCGAAGCTTCAGGCTGAAAAACTAGGCTACTTTTATGATTCAAACTAGATCATCCGGTACCATCCCTATCTATCTACATATTCCATGTGAAGTACTGCTTTTAAATTTGGCGCCATGTAGGTCCCGAAAGATAACTGTCCAAGATGCAAAGCTGTTTAGAGAAGTAGAAAAAACAGGTGTGTATAGCTATTATAGAAATCTAGTTTCACATATAAAACATCTTCTTAGTTAAGAACTTGAAGTAGACGGATTAGGCACCCAATGAATAAGTCCTGTGGCACTTTTTTTTTCTGGGTGACACAACACGCGCCTAAAAATGTTTCACTTTACCCGTTCGTGCATCTCATCCTGCGTTCGGATCAGACGAAGATCTACTAATATCGAAAACTAGCTTCCCGCGTTACCAACAAACCTTTGATCCCAATCAAAAAGATTAATTTTTATAAAGGATGCATACCCTCGTCGTGCTATGTAGACGATGGCTACACTGGAGCAAATGTTCGTCGTATAAAAATTTCCTTTTTCATAGATTTTGCAAATTGTACAAAGTGAATACGATGATCCTACACAAAGCATCTTTATTGTGTACAGCAGATATGCACGTGTGCATGTCGAACTTAGGTATATTCCTGTTTCTATTTTGACCCCGCTCCCCGCTCTCATTAGGCAGCAATCTTTAAAATCAATATATGTGTGAACGTGTGTGTCTTCATGATGATCTGTTTTAAGTGCTTCTCAGTTCGAAATGTGGGCGTCAGTCCCCAGCTCGGGATCGTCCCTATTTCCCAGCAATATCTCGGAGGATATTAGCGATCGGCGACGTCGTCCCTGAAATTTAATCAGGCCTTGTTGTTTTACTCGATCAATTCAATTGAAATTTTTCAAGGTTAAAGGATACAACTCAGCGCTAGTAGTAGGTTATCGAACAGTGTTTTCTGTTCATTTGTGCAGGTCTTACGGTGGTATCCAACGATTAGCATATTTGCTAATTTATTAATATTGCCGTTGATAAGAGTGAATAAATTTAATGGCTGTTTATCAAATAAAACGGTCCTCCGTTAAAAGTTTCAAGTAAGTAGTTGAAGCATATGGATGAAGCTATAAGTTATACTATATAGCTTATTTATTGATCAAAATATATTGCTTGGTATATCTACAAACAACTAGATCGGTATCCATTATAAATAGATAATGTTTACGTTACGTTCTCAGTAGCCTGCTTGAAAAACTGTCAATCATCGTACGCACCGCAAAAGCTCGGGCGATGCAGGAATGATTAGATAAAAAGGTCTACAAGAAATATGGTACGATAAACTCTGCTAAAGTAAGGCAAAACCTGGCATGCGTCAAATGGGATTACAAATCGTATACTAACAATAATACAATATAACTGAACACACACTAGGGAAATGTTTATTTTGATTTATCTGGGTGTTGAAAAGTATATAAGGACTCTATTGAACATGTTGAACTGAATTTCGAAAAATGGGGAAATTTAATTGCAGTAAAACGGACATAATGAATTGCTGACTGCCTAGAGAATTATACTTATCGGCCTAACTTGCCAACAGATGTTTATTATTACATCAACTTATTTTTTCCGTAGAGTTCTTTATTAACATGATTACACAGGGAAACGCAAAGCGTAGCGACGTAACAGATGATAAGATCTGTCAATAATTGCTACGTATTTGTCGCGGTCGCGTTTTCAATTAATGCTAGATTAGTCATTAAGTAACGAGTAAGTGTTTTGCAATCGTTGTTTAGTGAACAAAAAAAAAACAAGTTATCGAGAAAAAGACAGCTTCGAAGAGAACAAGCTTGTCGTCCAGCTCCTTTGCTAGTTACAGTGGGTAACAGCTGATACTTTAAATATTCTAAATGACACCTATAAAGAGAACTTGGAACTTACTAAAATCGCTCGCCATCTTTGGCGTAATGCGCGTTATCGCAATTTAGTATTTGATCCTGGTGCCTCTTCTTCAAGGCCAGATTTCATTATTAGGACGTTTTTGGGTTCACACTTGACTAACTGGACGTCGCGCTAGGCTGTCACGAAAGGAAAACTCGAGATATTGTATCGGATCTGAATAAAATTTCTGCTGGACCCATGGCTGCGATGTATACAGAGATTCTTGATTTAGATTACATGAACTACATAGAAATCTTTTAGTCCCCCAAAAGCATTCGAATCTGAAGACTTATTCGAAGTCATCGGCCTTCATTTTCGACAAAAGCTTGTCGTGCGAGTGCCACAATACGTTGTTAAATACGCTGCTCGTGTTTGATCTAAAGCTATCAACAAGAAAGAAAGCACGTTGAGTGAATGTTGGCTTTTAATAAATCGCAGAATTTGCTAACTACCTGGGACTGCTTCGCGCAGCCAAAGACCGCCTTTATATCATATCTGGGAACAGTCGCTACGTACGACGCCGTATTTCTCTAAGACCAACACAAAAATATATTTTTATGACGTCACTGTTTTAACAGCACTCTGAGATGATGGGAAGCTAAGTTGAGGTAGGGGATACCTAACTAGCCGCTGACTAGGCCGCCAACTGCAATGTACCAGCATGTAGGAAGAACTGCCTAAACACGTAGTTACCTGTTGGTCAAACTAGTCTTTAAACGATACCCACATAATTTGATATGTTGTCAAGATACGATAGGGTTGATTTTCTGTATTTAACGATCGACAGAATTGCAAACAAATATCAGAAGTTTTGAGTTACCGTAGTACTAACGTAAACTACAATGTTTTTGTTAACTAAGAGATTCAATTAACGTCCTCATCGAATCGCTTACCGTAGCAGGACAATATTGTAATAGGCACGCCGCCTGAACCTCCGTTACTTGTTGCGGAGGCCCTTGAAGGCCCGTGCATGCAGTGCTCTGCTGTGGCGTACAGTAAAAGCATGATGTCTGAAAACCAAAATAAGCCGACAAAGTTAACTCAGAGCGCGTGCCATAACTATCTAGTCAATTAAGCTTGTAGGATTTTAAAAAATACATTTAAAGCAAATGTATCTAGCATCCTTTTATTGAGAAGCAGACCAAATAAAATCCTACGTTTCAAGCCAAAACAGCGCTTACGACGCTCCACCATTCAGACACGGCATTGTAGATAGATTCGGTGTTTCTTAAACGTATCATATGAAATGGTTTGTTGGAGACGAAATTAAAAACGCAGAATTTATTTGAGAATCTAGAAGTAAACTCTTTAACACGAATAAGACTAACGTCTCTAGGAAATCTTAATGCGTAAAGATATCGCTTGCCTTCTAGGAGCTGATCGTTTAGAAGCTACTGATATCTATTTGTCAAGTAGAGAAGGAACTATGGTCGGCTATGTCCCTCTCGTGAAAACTGACAGGCAATAGGCGGTAATGACACTGTCTAGTATTAAGGAAACCTAAAAATCATAGATGAACTTCCTTGGGTCTGTTTCGATGCAATTGTCAGAATGTAACACTACAAGCGACTAGTGGAATCAACCAATTGTTCAGTCGCAGTGTGAAAGCACCTATTTTGTCACGATTCGATGTCTGTGAGAAATTTTTGAGACTAAATGATAATTTTATGGTTGGGCAATTTACATTTAAATTAATTGTGCGAACGCCCCAGGCTGCCAGAATACGTCATCGTTACATGCTGCTACTGCGAGTCTAGAACCCAACCTGTACAAACATTGCTAACAAGAGTATTGTTTCTAAGCTAGCGCTGCGCTGTTGCCTTGGTAATGTCGTAGTCTGGCAATCGTATTGCATAGTACGTGTCCTAAAGAAAGACTAGTGTTTTGATCATTTATCTTTTCCAACTAGATCAAACGACATCTGCTGCTGTCGGAAGAATCAAACTTTACACGTCGGTGTGTCTCCATTTATTTGTTGCTGACAGCGAAAAAAAACATTCCCAAGCCTATTCATTGCTTTTCGCCAATACTTCACTATAAGCGATGCCCACAATCGTATTTCCCTGTCTGTTATTTGCTCCGGTACAACGAGTAGCAGCCTGCAGTTGAAAACGTTCTTTATTTTTTTTACATTTGTTCTGGTTCGTTTTGCTTGGACAATACTCCAATCAACGCACGCGAATAGTATCAGGGGCTCTAGCATAATCCATTTGCCTGGTGTAGCAGCTGGGACGGCCAAGCATCTGGTTGAATTTAGGGACCGCTGTTTCAAGCTCTGCCAACAACGCATGTATACAATGAGTATATAAAGGAAGTTATCATAATCCAGTTCGATCGAATCTCCTAAATGCTTATACTGTAGCATATAATATATATATTGTATGTGATCTCAATAGTTTGTACCGGAATTCGCAAAGCGTCCACAACAATTTAATATATAGTATTTCTTAGAATCGTTTACTTTTGCTTTATTGATTGTCAGCTCTTCTAGAGATGATGAAATATAGTAAAACATACGTTCGCACTCTCGTTAGTAATATATATATATATATATAGGTGTTACATAGGCTAAAAGCAGTTACTCACTGTCGCGTTCTCAGTGTTCAGGCAGATGTAGTACTTTACTCCGCGTCGTGTAGCAGATGACCCCCAACCCCAGAAGAAACCCGCTGCTGAATGTGCAATTAGGACGACACACAAAGCTGGAACAATTAACTTATACGGCATCTTCAGCTCTTTTTCGAAACAAAGTCTACCCACGGACGACTGCAGAATGTAAAGGTTACGGCCCTATATTGGGCGGAGAGAGCGTGTAGCCGGAAGTTTTTACCACAGCGAGCTTGCCTTTGGGTTAATCTACTGGAATTGCGAGCTTATATTCACTGTAACTATTAGCCGGTTTCCTAAGCGAAATATTGGTAATAAACAACGCTATTCATATACTTCATTAGTCAAACCAATAGAGGACGATGCGTCGTTCAAGACACACAACGTTTCGTCATGCGGCGCTCACTTAGGTGTTTCGCGAGACCCTATTCCGTCGAAGTCTGATTTGGTAACTGAGGAAGGACAGCTAGGTTGACAGAAATGCTGAACGCTTTCGTGACTAGCGTTCATCGATCTATATTGCCGATGATAAAAATAATAACAATAGGCAGCGCTAAGGGGAAAAACGAAAATAACTACTAATATAGGCTGGTATGATAGTTCTCTTTAGGTCGAGCATCGAGTTTTTGCAAATCGAACGTCCTTGTGGAACGTCTATGGGGCGTAATGTGGTCAGTGAACATGCTTTCTGCACACAATCTCTTATCAATTTACTGAAGTATCAATGTTTGAAGTCAAATGATGGGTAGACAAGTCATAAATACGCTCTTTTTGTCAACCGTCGATACTAGTAAAGGGTCCGCGATACGAGTTACTGTCATAAAATTGGCTTTTTTCTACGTTGACATTCGAACGCTGCTTGGATTCAGAAAGTATAATGTACACTTCAGTCATTATTTAGGAACAGCCTTGCGTCACTTTTGTGAGAAGCCTAACAAAAACGTGCATTGATTGTTGACCATGCCTTTTTAATGCCCCTCATTCAGTTGAAATGCACAGACTATGAAGCGGAATAGTTGTGACGGGAACACCTTCAAGTCATGCCTTGACTTAAAACTTATTTTATATTTATAAAGCTACGTCTCATCTGGAAATGAGAACATTACGAAGGGATAACGTGGAATGTTCCGAGTCATTACGTTGAAAAGTTGAGAAAGTATACATGTGTACAGCAAAGGCAAACTGCTCTTCGCCGGTTTGAGGCGGCCCAAATAAAGAGTATTTTTTACAACTTTAGACAGTTTTCTTCCATCTGTCAATTTTTTGTGACAAACCGTATTCGTCTTGCATTTCTCGTCTCGCATAAATGCATTTTGTACGATGACGCCGTTGTGGAGGATCTTAATACTATACTAAAATAAAGAAATCCTTTGGATTTCCATACAAACAAAACGACGTTACAGTATAATAACTTTTATTAACCATGTTTATTTCGTAAATAATAAACACAAAACGGTACATTATGCGTTACAGGTGACTTCTCCAATAGCAACTAAATTACGTAGCGGGTGTAACATTATTGCGTTATAGATTCTGTTTTGGACTATTGTGACACAATAAGAATATGATGAAGCTGAGACAGCATTAAGAGTAACTTAAATAATGATAGATTATTACCACTATTATTTTTAGAGGTTTTGGTAAATGGCAATTCGCCAGCAAAAAGGACAGATCGCAAATACGCTGGTTGGGGCAGCGAATTTGGTGGAAAAAATTTAGCATAGACCTTATCTACTTTCCCCGTTATCATGAAAAGTATTCACGTTAACCCAAGGGCGTACATATACCAAAACTTGGCCTTTCAAAGACGAATCTAATTGTTTAATCGATTTTACGATGCTTTTGCGTTCGCAGCCGGGGCATGGAGAACGAGACATGGGTTTAACAACATTGGATTTCGCTGTTTCGTTGTCGTCAATGAGATCATCGATTTCTTGTCAACATCATAGAAACTAAAATTGACACTCCGTAACGCATTAGTCTGAAACATGGAGTCGACTTACGGGTCGAATAGATGACAAGCTTTTTGCCCCTGAGAGAAGCGGCAGCTACTGGGAACACTGCTAATCAGCGCCGTAACATCGTGTCAACACAGACTGTTCGTCTCGCATAAGTCGCTGTCCGGCATAAAGGCCGACGGGGCAATGTTTTCAGACGGAAACTTTTTCACTGCTTTCTATTTAGACCTAAATACGACTAAGTATCAATAATCCTCTTGCTTTCAAAATATGAAAGCTCACTCGCTGTTCTCACACACATCAAGCTTTTTGTTTTCCTGAACGTTCTCGCGCACGCAAGAGTCGACATGGTCTGCAGAGGGGTGACCCGTAGAGAATTCGACAATAATGGACTTACCTCATGTTAGCAATGACAGCACTAATTCGCCTGATGTCAGCTTTGGCAAACACGGTCGCTTGGGACTATGTTTTTGCCGTTGCCAGCATCACCTCAAGTTCCTTTGAGAGACATGTAAATGTTTTCGTAGTTTTTTTTTATGCTGCTAGATGCTCCCTTGTGGATAGACTGATTGGCATGTTGCAGAATTTACCTTAGCGCTCTCGGCAAATCTAAAATTCTGAATCTCTACTCTGCAAGACCACTAAGTTTTTTGAGGAACGAATGTTTAAATGTCCCATCTGAAATAGGTGCCAAACGTAATGGTCGGGCGACCTTCACAAAAGCCTAGACGCGTGTTACATTGCAACGGAGTTCAGACGCTCAGTTTTACCAACGATCGTTGCTGGTTGTTTCAGATGCTTTCGGTGGGCAGTTTTTAGCAAAGATCCTCCGTGTAGCTTCGGGATGGCTAGGTACTGCCGAAAGTATTTTTCGCCGTCTAACTGCTTCGCAGCTCGAATTTCGTGTCGTGCCTATCGGGTCATGGCGTACTGCCCTTTGATAGTTCTGTAAGATCAAGCTCAAACAAGGCCAAAAAGATTCACAATGGACCCCTAAACTTTGTGGCACCCTCACGTTAGACTTCGAATCGGCACTACTCTGTTGACGCAAATAAATCTGAACGATTCCCTTGTAATATATAGACTATTAGTCTAGTTCTATGCTAGACTAGAAGGATGGAACGTGCAGGCCACTCGTCAACTCTAATTGGTATTCAGTCGTGAAAACTACTTGGCGATTTCAAAAGTAACCATTTATCGCTTCTTCCGATCGTCTGATCTGGACAGATAAAATGAAACAAAAGGCAAAACTCTGATAAATTCAGCGTCAAATACTACTACAACTAGTGCTAAAAATAACGATGATAGTAACAATAATACAAACTAAAAACTTCGTAGTAACTGCATAAACTCAATAAAATTGTTCGACATTTATATTGCGGACTCGTCATCAGAGTGTCGTTCTATCCATAATGCTATTTAGTAGATTTATCTGAGTTACTCATTCGTTCCCTCTGTCATCTGCGGCCGTAGAGAGGTATACTTATGGTAAAGGTCGAGTTAATGGAAGCCAAAGATAAATTCTATGATAAACTAAAATCAATCAATTTTAGTAATCAAGCGAATATCTATTTCCTACGACCTGCCATTTTCAGCTGATCTGTTACTTACAAAAAATAACACTTATGTGAAAAAGGTACTATAAAAATATACTTATAAAATTAATTCCCGACAATCATTGTTTGGTATTACAAATAGCACATCCGTCCTGAAGGGCGGTACTCTTTCAAGCGTGTATTGTGGGTTATTTATTTAACTTTACAAACCGATAGAGCTTTGGAAACGTTTACGGTATCGCTCATTATTACCCTGATGGCATAGCAGCAGCAGCGGAAGCATTACGGTGAACAGCATTCACTGTGTCCTGGTGCATTCTACACGATCGCAGCAGCTCGTCGGATAGGAAAACATCGATTAGATAAAAAAAAAATAAAAAATCGACCTTGAAAAACGTATTTTACTCACAGGTTTAGTAGTCTTTTTTAGCTAACGCGAACAATTTTTAAGACAGCTGGCAAAGAAGACGAGGTTGATGTGTGCCGGAAAATTCATTGCTTATCACTTCTGCTTGTTGCTGAAATCCCTAATTAATCGACCTGTTTATGCTACTTATGTGACATAAATCAGCAAAGCGATAATAACCATAGACGTAAACAGGACTATATAATCGATTTTCCACATTTAATCGAACAGAAAGGCAAATCGCTCATCGATAATAACTTCGTCTCCCGTACCCAACCCCTGTCGACGCCAAAACTCTATTTGTAGGATATTTTTCATTTTTGTTCTGTTCTCCATTGACAAACGAAACTTTCCGAAGCAACGACATGAGTACGTTAGTTAATTGTGAAAATGTTAACCGCCGTAATTAAGACTATTCGGAAAAACCCGAACTGATAAAGTGAGTCCTATTGTGGTGGCTTCTGTTCCCAGTCATCGTCGGCTGACTATCGAGTCGTTTTATCTCTGAGAGGCCGGTATGACCCACCGTTAGGTCTTCTCTGTTCAGGAGTGCGCTGCGGTCCATACGTTCTGAGGTACTAGTTCCGTTCAAGAACAGGACCACGCCGCCTGTAACGCAAGCAGCGAAGCATTAAACCTACGAATCAGCGAAAATCAGCACAAAGCACTCTCCCGACATAATTTTTCTAAAAATTTGGCTACTCTGCATGTGTGACGCTATTGTCCAATACCAGTGTCAAACAAACAATAAATATATAGAAATAAAACATTTTCGAGTACAATCAGCCAAATCGCTTAGTTGCCATAATCCAGGGCTTTGGAGGCAATGATAAATATACTGATTATATAATAGCTACTATGAATGACTAATAAAAGTAGCGGCTTCTGTGTTAACGCCATTGAAACTAGCGCGACAAGCTCATTTCGTGGAGTTCGTCGATACCGTCAAAATCTAAGGCTTTCCCTCTGTTGAAACGGATTATTCCCAAGCCCCTGATAAGCAAAGCACCATATATCATTTATATATCAATTGTACCTATTCTAGACGTATTCTACCGTCTTAATGTAGTATAGTTTAGTTGGTGTTGTCTTTTTGCGCTGTTATGCTTTCACTAGTTCACGTAGAACTTTTTTTTTATCTATTCAGTACTATTCGGCACGTTACGAAGCACAAACAGAACTCGTAATGGCTCATATGTTAAATGGCGCGAAGTGCTGAATTTTAGAGACGAACTTCGTTCGATCTCATCTTTTATGTTCGTCCTTAAAAAGGTAGCCAACGCTCAGCCTCGAAGAATGTGATACCTATTTGAACAATTAGGGCATCCGCTAGCGAACACTCCCAGCTATTCTTAACTAACGTTTCCCACTATAGTTATTGCGTACACACATCCAGCAGATA